TAAGATGAAAGGCAACATCTAAGTATCCATAAAATTCTTTAAGGAGATGACAAATATTTGATTACCAAAACTTTTCAAAAAAAAAAAAAAGGGGGAGATTGGACTAGATAGATAATCTGTGAGGTTCTTTTCAGTTCTAGATCCTATGAATTTCTGAGGTGGGTTTAATTAATGGCATAATTTTTGAATGGAGAATCAAGATGTCTCTTCTCACGGTGCTTGCTGACATACTTCAATACTTCAAAAGATGCATGATTCTATTACTGTGGGTGGAATTCCCTCTGCCTATGCATATTGCAACCCCTCCATACCTGAATAGACTGTTTCATGAATTGCTGTAGCCAAAAAATTCATCACCTGGTGTCCAACCTTCTGGTGATGAGCCTCTTCGAACTTAGCTAGGTTGGTCCATGGATGACAGATATAGAATCCATTCAAAGGGCCCATACTTGAAGCCTTTCCAGCTTGGTAGGACCTGCCGGAGCTTGCGCTCTGCTAGCATAACCTTCAAGAACCCAGGGTCACCTGTGGGCCACAATGAGGCATCGGAGTAGGACTTTAGTGGAGACCTGCTGACAAAAGTGACATACTTATGACACGTTCCTATATGGCTTCTAAAAAACTCCCCAAGATTCTGCTTAACAGCCTGAATAAGAAACAAATCAATATACAAGTGAGCACGTTACTAAATGATCTCATGGGTTCTGATCTTTGCATCAAAATAGCACAGCAGCACCTCTCACTAAAAGGTGAATTATGAAGGTATTTTTCTAGCCTAAATCTGAGACTATAAGCAAAGTAGGAAAAGCACAAGGTTTCTGGTTCCCTGGATTCAGTCTGAGATTAATTAGATCCCCATTTTCAGCCTAGAGAAGATATGAATCACTAGGGTCAACCTCAAAGCTGATCCAGTTTCCTAAGAACCTTCCAGACAGGTATAAATGCTCCCCAAAATTGTAATTGTCTGTCCCTAAACTAGATCTCCATTACTGCAGTTCAGCCAAAACTTGATCTACCTTCCTGGATAGGCTCTATAAACCCTGCCTCCTCCCATCCCACAAATAAATAAAATCAAATGATTACATATCAAAGGAAAGGTAAATGTTTCCAAGCACAAAGTATCATCATGCAAAGTCACCTACTTCTCAATAGGATTCAGCATCAACTTGACAAGATAAAAACTTGAGCAAAAAAAAAAACTAGGTTAGAAACATTTCCCTATATTATCCATAATAATGTATATGCTCATGACAATGCTATTATCTGGGTTTACTCCATGAGATGGCTTTTTGGTAAAAATGCCTTGTTATAGTGGCCTTTTTAGAACCTCAATAATTAAATCTATTTTAGACAGGATTCAAGAATAATCTTCATGTTGGAAATTTGTTCTGTAAGGAATATTTAAACAATACATCAGCGGACAAAATGAGAAGCACTAATCGTTTTCTATATTTGTAAACTTTTTTCTGTACTGGAAGAGGAGTCACCATTCTGATGGTTTCAATCATCTTTGAAGACATTGTTATTCTTTACTCTTGATGGTATACAGCTGCTAGATTTATTAATAGTATTTTAGCTAGATCCCATCGCATAGTCAGTGTTTCAAAATCATTCTATAAAAATATAAAGTTTTCTGTCCCTCATATTTACCCTCAACTAAAGTGACAAAGTAGGAATAAAGCTATTTTACTTGTAGTTTTAGCCCATTTGTTATAGTAGATCTAAAGTAAATAGTCACCACAAAATCTTTTATAATTTAAAATTTTTTAACTAAGCCCCATACTACAGATATGGTAATAAATCAAATTCAAATGCTCTATTCAAGCTAGTTTTAAAGATCTAATTTAGAGCCATCCACTAATTCGTCAGAGAAACCACAATCAGAAAATTAGTCTTACTACACTCTTGCCTGTGTTTTTACATAATAGTATAAAGTTAATAGATAAATGAGATCCTAAACAAATGTACATTTTAATATTTACTCATTTCCTATAATCTTATGAAAATACCCCTAAATTTTGCCCCTTTATTCCTTACTTACAACTCATCATTATTTGGCCAAGCCAAGCACTGTGCTATTTATTAGCACTTTGATGTTTTATAAAGCCCTTTTTTCACAAGGACCCTGTGCAGTAAATCATACAAGTATCACCACTATCTGAAAGATAAAGGGACTGAAAACACAAAAAGGTTAAGCAACCTGCTCAATCACGCAACTATTAAATTCTGGAGCTGAGATTTGAACTCAGTTATCCTGACAAGTCTACTATTCTTTCCACTATACTATCCTACACTGGAAAACCAAGGGATTTTCCTTTTCCATAAGATTTTTCTGACAAATAATATGTCACAATACATAACCAAAACCTAACGTAAAGTTGTAAAATCTTTTTTGTACTATTTTTCAGTGAATTGTCCATTAAAAAAAGTTGTACCTATGTAACTGCCTGCTGTAATGTCATTTTACCTAATAGCTTATTTTCATGGAACTAAAGACATTAGGTGGGGTATACCTAGAGCACTTAGCAGCTCTTTAAAAGAGATAATAAGCTATTCAATTTCCTTCTCTTACACATATCATATTCTTTCTTTTAAAAAAAGTAAAATAAAATATATACACATGAGACTATTATGTGTACAGGGTATAAAAGACTTTAATTTTTACTTGAATAGTTAACCTCTAAAGAAAGCTTGTCTTTTAACTTGATGGAAGCTTCTTGCAGAAAAAAATTAAGGAGAGTTGTTAAAATACAATTAAAACTGATAAGTGTGCATTGTCTTCAAGAAGCATGCTTCATACATTTAATATATTTTTCCTTCTGTCTTGCCTCATTTTTAAGGGTTGTGGGGTTTTCTGGTAGTTTACAAAAGCCCTGTTTGTCTTTTTTATGGTTTATAATAAACTTGACATTAGCAAAAGCAATTATACTTGCTTTATAACTCAATGCATTTGAAAAAATAAATTTTAACATACATGACAAACAACAATTTGTTGTAAATCTCTCTCTGGATCTAAATAAGCTTTCATCATTTGTCCATCCATTTCTGTACACTGTCATCTTATATCATCACAATTAGCATGCAATCTGTTCAGAAGAACAGGTGCTGACTTTTATACTCTATATTATTTCATTAAAATCTTTCTAGATTTCTTTATATTCCTCACAGTAACTATCTCACTAATAAAGTTATATTATTCCATTACATTAGCTTAACAATGTATCCAGCTATTTCCAGATTCCTATTATTTTTGTTGTTGTTCAGTTGTGTCCCAACTCTTTGTGATCTCATTTGGGGTTTTCTTGGCAGAGACACTGGAGTGGTTTGCCATTTCCTTTTCCAGCTTTTACAGATGAGGAAACTAAAGCAAACAGGATGAAGTGACTTGCCCAGCATCATACAGCTAGTAAGTCAGGTCAGATTTAAACTCACAAAGATAAGTCCTTCTGACTCCAGACCCAGCACTCTATCCATTGAGCTACCTAGCTGCCCAATTACTATTATTGCTCGCATGCACATGAACACACACACACATACACACACACACAATTTTTTCCACATTGACAAAGTGGTGAGATAAATATATTTGAACAGAGACTGTCTTCTTTTTTTTTTTAAGAACATTCTAAGGCTACATTCCCAACAGTAGGATGAATTACTGTTATTTTTTGTAGTGTTTGTGGAGTGCCGCTAGATTGCTTGTTAAAAAAAAAATCTCAGGTTACAATGTCATCTAAAATGTATGAGTGTATTTATTCCCCATAATGCCAGCAATTTCATTGTTAAAAAATAATTTAATTGGCATGACGTGATGCTTCAAGGCTGTTTTAATTTTCATTTCTTTATTGTCAAAGATGGTATTTTTTCAAATGATTTTTTTAAAAAAAGGACCACTTATTCCTCTTTTGTAAATTTACTTTCCTATCCTTTGATCAGGTATGCACTGGAGACTAGGTCTTGCCTTTGACTACTTCATATATTTCCTTCTAAAACTTGAGAGGTTTTTGCTACATATTTTTCACACAATGTTATTTCCCATCACATGGAAAGTTTTCTTTTTATGTAATCAAGCTCATTTATCTTGTCCCCAATAATTTCTTCCATTTAATAGATACTTACCTTCCCTCCAGAAGTGATATAAATAGGTTATTCTATTTTACTCTATTTTTGTAATAGGTTTTAAAACAAAGAGTCTATAAGCCAGGTAGATTTTACTCTGGTATATGTGAGTTATGAGACTAAATCTATTTTCTATCATATCTGCTAACCAGTTTTCTCAATATTTATTAAAAGATTAATCCTTCCCATCTTTTGTTTTCTATAGGTTGAGCAAACATTAGTCTTTTGTGTATTTTGATCCCATGTCTGAAATCTCTATTCTGTTTCATGGGTTTGTCTATCTCTCCCTTTTGACCAGATATCAGAGGATTTTGATATCTGTTTTGTAATGTTTTAAAGTCTACTCTTATTGACTTCTACATCAAACTCTGTGTTCCCAGATATTCTTCTCATTTATTTTTAAAAATATTTTTATGCTTATTTAGCATCACTTATAAAGCTATCAAAAATTTGGTTTATTTTATGTTAATTAATTTATTCTAAGAGAAATACAATTTATTATGATTACACATAGATACATATGGGATTCTATAAATCAAAGTCAAGGATTCTCAATTTAGTGAGAATTGTCTTCTGTTTTTGTTATTTTTATTTCATGAAGTGTTGAGAGCAGAGTTTGCCATTAGTATAATATCACTTTATACTATTACTAAAAAAGGTAAATCCAGTAGTCAGTCACTAATTGAAATTTAAGATATTCAAGTTTCATATTACCTTTCATTTTTTAAAGTTGTAACTTTCTGTGTTCAAGTTAACAAATTTGAACATATTCTTAATGACTAGAAAAGTTCAATCAATTCTACATAGATAGCTAACAGTTTATATGTACATAAACTGAAAAAACACTTGGCAAGGATAACGTGAGAATGCAAATAAAGTACCTGCTGCTTCCAACAATGCTTCTAATCTTGCTTGTGTCTCTGGATCCACTGTGCGTAAATCTGTCCCTTCTGCTGCGCTCGATAAGAATAACTCTGATGTTGTTTTAAGCACTGGGTTATCCAGATCTTCTTGGTCCAAAATAAATGACTCAACCTGTTTGAGAATTAAAGATTCAAGCTCCATTAAACAGATTTTATAAAAGCCATAGTATAGCTCTAGAATTACTGTCTGATAAATGTCCCTGATAAACTTGAGTTGGTGTGTGTTTGTGTCTGTGTATGAAAGACAGAGAGAGAAAAATGGTATATTATAGGTTCATGGGGATAGAAAAAAAACTTTGAGAGAACACTAAATTTATTTTATCTTCACTTAGAGGTTAGTGAAAATAAATATGTAATTCCCCCCTTACAAAGTCAAAGAGACCTCCTAAAATCTATCCAGTGACCCCTGGGGGTGGGGTGTCCATGTATCCCAGGTTAAAAACCCTCGTCTAAGGTCTCTATAGACATGACATCAATATACTTAAGGAAACACAGAAGAGAAACACAGAAATTCTAAGAGGTGAAGGTGAGAAGAAAGAGCATTTCAGGCATATTAATGCAGAGGCAAGGGGATAAATACGGAGTATTATGTGCAAGGAAGGCAGGCCAGTATGGCTGGAGTATGTAGAGAAGTAAAATCAAAGACTAGAAAAGTAAGACAGCAAAAGCAAAGAGGGATAAGAACAGTTATGATCTACAATCCATAACCTGTGCTTCGGATAACTCCAAAATTAATTATTTCTCTTCTTCCAAATATTACAGTTTTTACTTCAATGGCCTATAAGAAATTGTATCTGCTTTATATGATGATTTATGATTCATAATGAATACCAAATGGTTGCTAGTCCTACCACAAAAAGAGATACGCCATAAAAGATGGTAAACACCAAACAGTTTGGAAATTGCCTAGCTCTGAACCATCTGGGAAGTACAACAATCTTATATAACTAATCTGTAACTTCAAAATGACTGAAATTAAACCATGTACTATGTTGCAATGTTGTTTCTTTACAAAGAGAACTCCATTTTGGATCTGGGCCAGTAGGATAAATGTAGCTTACCAGTTGTCAAAATGACCTTGCACATTAACTTCTTGAACAACAAAGAATTTGTTACAAGCACAGAAAGGAGTTAGGCATCTTCTGGCAGCCTTACTTGTCAGTTTTGAGAATAGACTGAACAGTATTTCAAACAAATTAAATAAAACTGTGTATCAACTTCCTCATTACTACTAAAGATTGTATTTAGATGCAATTCTAATTTTAAACAAAAAAGTGGACTGATGTGCTATTTGGTACCTTATGGAAATTTAAACACAGATTAACATTACAGAATGAAAAAAAAAGTTCAGGTTATGTTTCTATAGAATGTGAACATCTTAAAGGAAGGGACTATTTTTCATTTCTGTTCTTGAATCCCAATTAATAAATAGTAGTAGCAATAGATAACACCCATATAGCACATTCAAGTTCGCAAAGTGCTTTACAATTTCAGTTGATACTTCACAATAACCTTAAAAAGTAATTACTAAGAGGCATTATCCCTAAATGCTTATTGATGGAATTCTAATTAAATTCAACTTGATAATCACTTACTACATGTCAGAACTATAAAGTCCTGCTAGGGTATATAAATAATAGTAGCTGACATTTATATAACACTTTAAAGTATTTACACTTTACAGTAAAGCACTTAGATGATCTCATTTGGCTTTTACAACAACCCTAAGAGGTAGGTATTAATGGGTAGTAGCCTTATTTTACAGGCAAGAAACTGCAATTCAGAGAATTAAATGACTTGCCCATGGTCACACACTGTATAAAACGTTAAGAGTCTGGATTTGAATCCATATCTCCTGACTACAAGTGCAGTACTCTTATTATCGTATCTCCCTAAGCCTCTTATATATACATTCATACAAATATTACATGTCTACATGTCCTCTGACATTAGGGAGCTTACAATCTAACAGCAATAATACAACCACACAAATAAACATGAGGCAGGATATAAATGATGCCATGGGTACCAAAGCACAATGAGTTCAAAGGAAGAAGCAACCACTTCAAGCTAGGGTATCCAAGGAAGTCATGACGTGTTCGTTTCACTTAAGCACAATGCCTAGAACATAGTAAACAATAAATGCTTCTTTCTTCCTTTCTTCTTTTTTCTGTAACAAATGCTCCCAACAAACATTCTACAATTCCAGCAGAGGGAATAACATGAACAGAAACACGTTCAGGGAACAGAAAATGGTGCCAATTGGCTGATAAAGAGAGAAACTATTGGGAAGTGGGACATAAGGTTAAAATGGTAAACTGAGGCTGGGACATTAAAAGTTGGGCTATTTACATTTTAAATGGTAGGTAATGAAGAACAACTAAAAGTTAATGTTAAGGGGAAATAAAAGATCAAAACCTTGCTTGAAGAAGATAATGTCTGGCAGCAAAGAATAGTAGAAAGCAGACTTTATTTGGAGTTCAAATCTGGGTCACTTCAGACAAGTCACTCAATCTCTTTGAACCTCAGTTTCCTCATATGTCAAGTTGTTGGTGGAGGGGGGAAGGGGTTGGCAGGATACTTTTTTTTTATTAATTTATTCTGAATTATCAACAATCACTTCCATAAGCTTTTGAGTTTTAAATTTTTCTCCCCCCCCACCTCCTTCCCCTAGACAGCATGTAATCTGATATAGGCTATACATATACATTCCTATTAATCATATTTTCACATTAGTGATGTTGTAAGTGAGAATTAGAACCAATAGGAGGAACCACCTGAAAGAGGAAACAAAACACAACAGAAGAAAAAAAAATAGCAAATAGTATGCTTCGATCTGCATTCAAACTCCATAGTTCTCTCTTCTTTGCGGATAGTATTTTCCATCATGAGGCCTTTGGAGATGTCTTAGACCCTTGCATTACTGAGGAGGGCTAAGTCTATCAATATTAGTCATCAAACAACATGGCTGTTATTGTGTACAACGTTCTCCTGGTTCTGCTCACTTCACTTAGCATCAGACCATACAAGTCTTTCCAGGTTTTTCTGAAGTCAGCCTGTTCAACATTTCTTATAGCACAATAGTATTCCATTACATTCATATACCACAACTTGTTCAGCCATTCCCCATTGCAGGATACTTTTAAGAGCCCTTTGAACTCTAGGTCTATACTGGCAACAGGATGTGAGACAGATTAGAAAGGAAAGGCATTAACATTGGGAAACTGGGAAAACTAGTTAGGAAAATACTGTAAGAGGAAACAAGGACTAAACTAGGGTGATAGTAGAAATTGAAAAGGAATGAATACAGGATACACTGTAAAGGTGAAATGGACTGGGTTTAGCAACTACTAGGATAATCCTAACAACACTCAACATACAGCACTTTAAGATTTGTAAACTTTACCTATATTATTTGATCCTTATAACATTAAGCTCCTCGTGAATAGGGACTGCTTCATTTTTTGTACTTGTAACCCCAGTGCTTATCATAGTACCCAGCACCTGGTATGTGCTTATTAAATACTTATTGATTGACTGAGAACAAGGAATAGATATGTGGGAACAAGGAAATGGAAAGAATCAAAGGTTTTGAATTGGACCAGAAGGGTGATATATTAACGACAGAAATAGGAAATCAGGAAGAGAAAGGAAGGACTGGGGAATAGGTAAGGAAAATGAGTCATTTTAAATTGAATTTGAAATGCTGATAGGCCATTCAAGTTGTGCCATTCAATGGGCAGTTAGCAATGCAAGACTGAAGCCAAGTAGATTGAAATCTGGGGATCATTTGCATAGGGGATAACTGAAGGTAAAGAAACAGAAGAGATCACTTGAGGGATAAGTATACACTGAAGGAAGATGGAAAGGGAGGAGAGGACAGACGGATGAAAGCCTTGGGAAGTATCTATATTTAACCAGCAAAAGCACACAGAAACAGAGTTCTCAGAAAAACTCTTGCCCCTATTTTAAAAAAGTATGACTAGTCTGAAACAATACCTTAAACACAAACTTACTGAACATAATACTCTTATATTTTGAATGTCACGTAGATCTGGGTTGTGAGAAGCAGTTTGATATAGAAATGTCACTTGGGTTTTAGTTATGCCTCCCTCAATAAGCATGCTCATGATCACAGGCAAGTTCCTTGATGTCTCAATTTCCCATCTTTTATATAAAAGGTAATATGTGCCTTGCCTACTTCAGAGGGTACTTGTTAAGTTCAAATGAGGTAACAAGTCATTTTGTCATTCAATCAACAAGCATTTATTAAGTACGTATTATGTGTCAGACACTGTGCTAAATGCTATAAAGGCAAAAAAAAGTCCCTGCCCTCCAGGAACTTACATCTAATGATGAGTAAAACAACAAGATAAATTCAGAGAAGATAAAGGGCAATAGCAGCTAGAACTGGGGGTCTTAATCTGGGGTCTGTGAAGTTATTTTTTAAAACTACTTCAACATAATTAGTTTCCCTTGTAATCCATATTTTACTCTAAATATTTAAAACATTCTAGAAAAGGTTTCATAGGCTGCTGAGGAGGTCAATGATGAGGGGGGAAAAAAGGTTAAGAGCTCCAGGATTAGAGGGACTAGGAAAGGCCTCCGTTAGTAAGCAGGATATTGGTTGAGTCGTGAAGGAAGACAGGGAAACTGAGATGCTGAGATAAGGAGCCAGAGACTTCTAGGTGTCGAGGTCGGCAAAGGGAGGGAGATGGGTAGAGTGTCATATTCGAGAAACCACATATAGGCTAACATAGCTGGAATTTAGAATTCATGGAGATGAAAGTATAAGAAAATTGGAAAGGTAGAATGGGGCGCCAGTTTATGTAAGAACTTTAAATGTCAAACAAATGAATTTATATTTGATTCTGGGGGTTACAGAGCCACTAAAGCTTAATGAGTGGACATAGATTGACATTATAATTCATTCATTCAACAAACTTAAGAGACTAAGTTCCAGGCAGGGGATATAAAGACAAAAATAGTTCCTGCCCTTAAGGAGCTTAGATTCTACTGGAAGGAAATAACATTACATGGATAAGTCAAGGGCACCTGTGTGTGTGTGTAATCAGGAAATCTCATGTAGGAATAACACTTGAGCTAAACCTT